CCCCCCACTCCCCCAGCCCCCCCCCACAGGGGCCCTGCCTGCCAGGGCTTTGGCCCTTTAAGGAAAAAAAAAGCTGAGAAAAGCCTCCTGCAGCGACCTCGGGACTTCGGGGGGCTCATGCAGAGCCCCCATGTAGTGTGGGGCAGCGGCGATCGTCCCCTGCCTGGCAGCACCCACTGAGCCGGGGCTTTTTTTTCCCCAAGTGCCGGGAGCTGGGGTGGGCTGGGTAGCCATTGCTGGACTGCGAGAGGGGCGGGAGATGGGCCTGACCTGGCTGATTCAGATATTCAACCGAATCAAATTGGGACAATGATTTGAATCGCCAAATTGAATCACTGTCCCCTGAATTGGCTGAATCCAAAGTGAATACCAGCCGCTTTGCACAGGCCTAGTAGCTATTTGGTATGGGATTTGCCCAGGATATGGAAGACTGGTCAAGTTCCTGGTCTGGAAGAAGCAGAGCAAGGACTCCCACCTAGGTCTCCTGCATTGTTGGTGAATCCCTATGGTTAAGTGATGTTCTAGCTCCTCAGAAATTCCTTGCTTCACTTCACCTAAGACACGTTTTCCTGCCAACAGCTTTGTTCAAACTAATGTTTCCACATAGTATTTTGGTTTCAAGGAATCAGCATTTTCCAGTGAAAAACTGGTTCCTCAGAAATCTCCTGACCAGTTCTATCAATGCTCCTCTTTGCAGAAATTCACCTCCGTACAACAGTGCTAATCAATGATCAAATAAAAAATGCCTTCTGTAACAACAACTTACAACTCACTTATTATATGTGGGACTATTTTCTTGCATGCCATACCTACCTTTTTTCAGAAGTCAGTTCTCCAACATTGGGATGCATATCTTAAGCTGGGAAGTTGATTTGCTACACTGGAATAGAAGCATGGAGAAGCATGTAATGGCTGCCGCTAGTTTCCCATGTCTCCTGGGCCACAAGCAGCAGGGGCGGAGTTCTTTGTTCAGCATCAGAGCTAGAATTAACCCTCTCACAGCTGCTGCTGAACTGGCAGTAGCTCTTAGCTGAGCAGGACAAGGAGGGCAAGTGAACCGAAGGGTAAGCTCTACCTCTGCTCCATGGGTCAGATTTTGACCATGTCTGTGGGGAAAAAAAATCTTTTTATTTCATTCTGCCTTCCCAAACAAGATGCATGCCATATTTGTAGGGTAAGCAAGAAAATATGGAATTTCCCTTTACTGCCTCTTGTGAGCGACTTCACTGAAGGATTCTTGAAAGTCCAAAACAGTTATACACCTGGTTCTCCCTTATCCTTTGTTTTACTGAAAGGATCAAATAATTCTAGAGCAGAGGTTCAAAAACAGTGTTTTTGAGACTCTAATTAGCCACTCTAATTCTTCCATCCACACCCTGTCAATGCTGTGCTGTGGGGCTGGAGTAGCACTGACAATCAGTCAAAGAGAATGTAATTACTGCTGACACATAAAAGGAATGGAAGAATGAGGCAGCGGGGTAGGTTCAGTGTTGACAGACACTGTATTTGAATGAATTAGAGGCATTTTCCTTTCTAAGACTTGATGTTCTGAGATTGTTCAGAGCCTGTTGCTGTGTTCCTCTACCCTGTCTGGAGACAATGGTTTTGACTTTCAGATTCATCATGTACCCAAACAGTTACATAGAGAGAGACATGAGTGAGAAATGCCGTATGCTAAAGGAAACAGCACAGGTAAGAATATCCTGCCAGTGACTGGCAGTTTATTGTAGGAGAGCGCAGTAGCACCAGAAGGCACTCTCCCTGGATGCACTGAACTCCTCTGTACTACATTTCTGTTTCATCAGTTTATACCCAATGGAGGGGAGGTGCACTGCACACAGCTTTAGGAAGGGAATGGGGAGGAGGGGAGCGCACCAATTCATTCTGAAGAGGATTGCAGCAGTTACAGGAGTGACTTAGTTGTATCCTCTCTCTGTTTAGTTAGAGCACAGACTACTTGGCCAGACATCCATTCCTATGTCTGGCAGCAGCTGGGGGGAGCAGGAGGTGCCTAGAGCAGACCACTGGTGAGTTTTAAAGATGGCAAGTCAAATTTCATATAGGGCCTACGTTGCATTGATCTTTGAAAGCCATGGAATGAGAGGATAAACCTGATATATTCTCCAATATCCAAATCCTAATCTGTAGGGAGTAGACACTTAAGAGACTTGGATCTGTGTGTGGAGCAAGGGCGGGCTGCTGCTGCAGGCTTGCCCCGGGTGCCAAACTTCCTTGTTATGGTACTGCCTAACCCAGGGGTGGGCAAAATGCGGCCCGGGGGCAAGGTGCGGCCCGCCAGGCCATTCTATTCAGCCCGTGGGGCCCCTAAAAAATTTAGAAAATTAATATTTATCTGCCCTGGGCTGCCTGTCATGCGGCCCTTGATGGCTTGCCAAAACTCAGTAAGCTGCCCTCTGCCCAAAATAATTGCCTGCCCCTGGCCTAGCCCTTAATGTGTTTGCTCTGACAGGAACCCAGATGCTGATTGGGCAGTCATTACTGTGTAGTCATTTAGTACTTGTATAACCAAGTACTAAACAAGTCACTGTATAAACAAGTACTAAATGACTGCTCTGTAACTGGAGTTACTGCGCAGTTGTGCAGAGGAAAGACTGTTTTGTAACACTGATTGTGCAGTAGCTCATGGCTACTGTGCAATAACATCACATCACGTTTCCTGCCACACAACGCTACCGTTCAATAGTCACAGGTTACTGTGCAGTCAGTGTCTCTTGTAGATGTGGCCAGTGTGATGGGGAATGCTATTATCCTTTTCCTACCAATGGAAAACTGAGGCCCAGAGAGACTACAGGCCAAATCCTCCATGACTTTGCAGGCATTTAAACAGGACTTACATGGCATATAGGCATCTAAATCCCTAAGTAAGGTCCAGATTGACCTCACTCTGGTGCTCACAAACCTGCTAACATGCCTAGTTTTGTCACACACAAAATAGATGCCCATATGTTCAATTCACAAGCTCTGTGCACATATGGTCACAATCCCAAAGGTACTCTGACATCCAGTACTCTTACATAGGCCTTTTCACCCTCCTGATTGGCCCACTTTGCAGGCTTAGATGGAGTTTAGGGGCCACCCAGTGCCAATAACCTGGGTGTACTCAGAGCATACATGATAGCAGAGCACTTTGCCTCTGCAGATAGTTTAGAAAAAAAATCTCTAGATTGGGGCAGAGCATATACTAGCCTCCCTTTTAAAGACATTTGAAATTACCAGAGAGGCATAGGCAAGACTAGCCAGACTATGCTGCCAAGGGACTCCCATGTCTATATGAAGTGGCACAGAACTCAGGAACTGAACAAGATAGTGCTCTGCAACACCTTCATGGACTTTACCAATGAACTTGCCAAATTTCTGAGGTCCAACCACAACTCCTCTATGTAGGCTCACCACTGCAGATACATCAGCCAAGAATAGACCCCTCAGGGCAGGCTAGTAGGTAAAAGTGGGGGGTTTTTGTGTGTCACTTGTTCCCACCTTGCCCTCTGGACCTTTACCAAGCCACTGGACTTTTCCTAAGCCCTTATCATTTCTCAGTTCTCTCTGACTGCCTCCCCGCAAACCAGAGTTCCTGAAACTGGACTATCTGTATGCCATGTTTGGCATGAGCCTGATTGTTGGCCATTTTGGTTTTGGCAAGTGACCATGGCTACCCTCTCTGACTCCATGCACCTCTCCCACCCCCCAGAGACTGAGGCACTACAACTGCATGCACAAGAGAAATAGTTTGAGAAGGAGCTGAAGGCCTTGGGACCTATGGACATTGCTCCACCAAAGCATCTCTCTTCTCACCCTGCCCTCCCCACCCCCCAACCTGCCTCCCCAGAGGCAGCACCTTCACTGCACATGGCAAAAGTATGCAGAAGAAGGGTATGGGCCAGACTGACCTGGAAAGTGTTCACCTAATAAAAGAGGATGAGAGAAGCACAGCAAACAGCATGGTAGGATTTGGATTTTTAGAAACCGAGAAATGAGAGACATGCACAAAACAAACAAACCAACCAGAAAACATGGCCCTGTGAGATCCATTCTCCCTTGGGGACAAGAAAGATGAAGATACAAGTGTGCGAAGCTTTCAGAAACTGAATGACTGTTTTGTTTCCTGCAAGGTCTGCACACAGCTCCCAAGTGAGGATCACTCCCTAAAGGGGTGGGAAAATACAGTACTTACATATGTCTCTACAGCCCTTCCTTCTTTTGCCTTCTCAGATGGCCCCTCCAGTCTTTCTTTGGTATGTTTATCATGGACCCACTGTGTTCTCATGGCCAGCCTATGACTGGTTTCTCCAGCTCCCTTCAGTCTCTCTCAACAGATTTTGACTCAACTTCTAATTTCCCATGTGTCTCATTCTCAAACATGTTGTGCAATGTATACCCTGTATCTCCAGCCTGAGGCTGTCCCTGCCTAGTGCTTAGCCTAGTGGTTCTCAACCTTTTTAGGTTCAGGACACCCTTCCATAGCTTCTCTGAATTTGGCAGCATCCCAGTCAAGGACTACTATTGTACTGCCTCATTTCACATCAGTGGTCCTCAACTAGGGTGATGCCACCACTGGTGCCAGGTGAAACTGCCATGCCTACCTCATGCGGAGGTAGATTGGGAAGTGGCCGTGACAGGACAGACCGCCCCTGCTGCAGCCCTTCCTGTTTGTGCATGTGCTTCTCCTGGAAACTGAGACATGTGAGGCAGCTCCGCCTAGCAGTGTGGGTGGGGTGGCACATTTCAAAAGTGTAGCCACACCACCATTTTTAGTAATTTGGATCACTTTCCTGAAACACCCATTTTGGGGGCATGTCACCCCTTAAACTAGTTACCTTAGAAATTGCTTAGGATCTGGTCCAGGGTCACACGGGAAGTCTATGGCAAAGCAGAGAACTGAACCCCAATCCCCTGAGAACCAGGCTAACACAATGGAAAACAATGTCTGAAAGAAGCTAAAATCTTGTTACCATATAACCTGGTGTCACAACTTGTTATCCAACTAAAGGGGAAATATTAACTCTTCCATTTATTCCTCCCAGTAGAAGACAGACTACTCCCAACCCCAGCCACCAATAGAAGCAAGAAGCAGACATTTGAATGCAACATCTCGTCTTTGCTCCAATGAATGCTATTTCTAGGATTCCAGACCCACCTGAAGTCAAAGATACTTACCTACATTTCATATGGATGGAGGATCATGGGTTATGGACCACTTCACCACCCAAAGTCCCAAAGATCTGGGAGATGATTCAGGATGTGCTGAAGTCTGGGCAACTCTTGCTTGAGAACTTCAGCCAATAAACAGCCATACAGGATCACAAAGAGTGGACTGTCAGAATACAGGCTAGAGAAACAGCCCTGAGGGTATCATGTTTGGCCCATAATACTTACAAATCAAGCATGCTGCACACTTGCCCACACACTAAACCACTTATTGACAATGCACTCCTTCTGGGGAAAATGAGTGGTTAGCAGCTTAGCAATATAAGCATAGACAAAGCAATTGTTTTTATATTATGACTACTAAAATTATAGATGTGGCTTAGCTGGTGGTCTCCCACTGTGATCGGCTGGGGGACAACTGAGCAGATTCCTGCTTTCTGAGCAAATGCTAGGAACATTGGCCTGGTGTCATAACATTTTGCTGCTGTTAAATTCTCTAGAATAGGGAAACAATTATTTATCGATGAAAGAGAACTCCTTGGAAAAGCAGAAAAAAGATTGCAACAGAAATAGCACCCACCCTGACTCAGGCCAGGCCTGGTCTTCTGTCAAAGCACTACTTGCAGTGGCAGGGTGAGATAAAGCTTGTTTGCCAGGTTGAGCTGGAGCTACAAGGCCAGTTGCTTCCCAGTCTATGTCAGACTATCTTGTAAA